GTATATGTATATGTATACATGCATGCATACATACATACATACATACATACATACATACATACATACACACACACATATATATATATTATTATATCTTAAATATTATATATTGTATATTATTTATTATATATCATACATGATAAATGATATATGATATGTATATATCATATATTTTATATTCTATATTATATATATATATTATATACTATATATATATGTGTGTGTGTGTAGACAGTCAACTTTTATCTATGTTTATGTCTTACATGTATATATTTGTATATGTGTATATACGTATACATATACGTACATACCTACATCTCGATCGGCATGTGTTGTTTTTACATACATGCCTACCTGCCTTTTAAGCAACACGTCGAAGTTCCAAAGATCGAAGCCTGCTTTTCGGAAGTGCTCTGCATGAAGCTCTGCAGGCAACTGTATATGTCTTCTTAGCGGATCAGGGGGGCTATCTCTCATGGCGACTCCGAAACCCGAAGCCAGACAGCGGGCCCGAAGGATGGACTTCAATGTCTGCTATAGGAGCAGAGATGCACCAAAGCCTCTTGGGGGACTAAGGGACAAAGGATCTGAAGAGCGCATGCCTGTCTGCGACACAGCCGCCAAATCAGCGGTTGCCGCAGCCGCAGCCACAACATAATAAGAGAGACACTTCGCACACAAGGGATGCTCACTTCGAGCCATGCAGCACGATGGCTCCCCCGGGATTTCGTCGAGGCATCCCAGATCGGTGGCGCATGGACGCTCATCGCGTATGGCATCATGCTGGTAGTTTTCCTGTTCGAGCTGGCATCCTTCATGAGCCCGGGCTATCGCACCATGATGGCCCTGGACAAAGCAGGCAGCGATTCGCTGCAGATCAACTTCGACGTAGATGTGCATGACATCGAGTGTCGGAACCTGCAAGTCGTGGTTTATGCTCAAAATGGCAAAGAAAAGCTTGGCGCGCTCGGAGAAGATTTCTGGCTGCGACCCATTGACACTTCGGGGAAAACTGATGGAGTTGCGGTGAGGCCCCAGGACTATCAATGGCAAGAGCAACAAGATGATCATGACAAAGTCATGCAGAAAGTGCGGCATGAAGATGGCGCGGAGGAGATCGATTCTGATTGGTCTTCCTCACACGATGGCTTCAAGCACAAGAGCTTCGAGCATGTCATACAGGGCCATGATTTCACTTTCATAAACTTCTTTGCTGGATGGTGCAGTCATTGCCAGAAGTTCGCCCCAGAGTGGGATCGAATTGCCGAGAAGATCCACGGCAAAGGTGATGCTCCAGGCATGAAGTTTCCCGACAAGGACGGCATCGAGCGTCCCATTCGGCTGATCAAGCTGAACTGCGTGGACTTCAAGGAGACCTGTGTGGAAAAAGGCATCGATGCCTACCCTACATTGCGGCTCTATAAGGCCGACGGATCCTTTACAGTCTATGACGGTCGACGTGGGGAGGCGGAGATCGTTCTCTGGCTCTATTGGATGGCGAAGATGAGCAGCTCTAGCTGGGGTACGCACCATGAGGCCTTCGAGCGCGGCTGCAATGCCCGTGGCCGGCTGCAGGTGCCACGTGTGCCCGGCCACTTGGAGCTCATGGCCGGGGGTGGCGATCAGACGCTGAACCCTAGAATGACCAATGTCAGTCACACCATCAAGCACTTGTCCTTCTCGGATTTGTCCGTCTCGGCTGCAGAGAATGACATGTACAGGGCAGCACGCTTGCTCCAGCCCTGGAAACACTTCCCTGGCGAGGTCACCCGAAACTTGGCACCATTGGATGGTCGCAAGTTCGTGACCAGCGGCTTTCATCAGGCTTACATCCATGAGCTGAAGGTGGTGAGCACCGTCGCGGGCAAGGAGACAACCTACCAGTTTCAGCACCAGACTCGGATATCGAAGCTACCCGAGGCCGCAATACCTCAGGCGCAGTTCCACTACGACATCGAGCCGTTTTCCATCCACGTGGAAACGGATGGGAAGAGATGGTACGATTTTGGCACTTCCCTTTGCGCCGTGCTGGGTGGCGCCTTCGTTGTCCTGAGACTTGCATCCCGGTTTTCCGTGCACCTCTCTGCCTCCCTGAAGCCTGGAGCAAAGGCTCAGCGGGGAGGTGCCATGAGTATCGGCCACTTCGAGTGATCCTTCCACTGATCGCGATGTGGCGCTCAGAGCCGCGAGAGCTTGGGTTTAGAATGCTTCGAGTTCTGAAAGACCCAGACACTCCGAGGAGCTTGCTGAAACTCCGCAACCCAAAAGCGTTTATCGCTGAAGTGGCCGGAGGTTTTGTGATGTGTTTGCTGATCTATCAGTGACTTGCCCTAGTGCCTTAGTGTAGGGCTATCCTGATGTCTAGCTCCGCCGCTTCATCTGTGTATGTAGCTAGCCCCTGCCGAACACAGACTTCTGGTGGGTGTGTTGGTAGCCTGGGCGTATCGTATCAACCTTTACGCATGACTGTCCTTGACACTCGTGTTAGGCAGTAGTATCCCGAAAGTTTCACGCAGACTACAAAAGCCCGTCGAAGTGGCCAGGATCCTGATGTCCGGTTTAATTAGGGTTTAGGGTTTAGAGGCCGCAGTGAAATAGCAGATGTCAGAGTTCTGTCGCTGTGTCTTGTGCGGAGCACGGGTGTGGCCGACTTCCCAGCTGAACAGGATCAGAGCCTCGGATCAAAAAGGGGTCTAAGTGGCAGCGCTGCTTCCCGGATGCAATGGTCTAGCAGTGCTGCTTCCCAGCTGTTGGCAGAGTCTGGGTTCAAAACAGGGTGTGTGATGACTGGCTGGTGGATCCCAAGTCGACTGCAGCCAATGTACGACTTCGCACCGTAATTACACACCTCGCCTGTAGAGACCGAGTCGATAGAGCCCAAACGGTGCGACATAGTCTGGGCGAGTGAGAAGTAACTCTAAGACTCTAAGCTTCCCGAAATGGGCCCCTAAACCATAGGGCCCTATGGTTGGCACCGTGCACGCCTGTATGCTCGGCTTTACATGTTACCTGTTCTGGCCCAGTGCGAAGAATGACAAAGCAATGACCAATTCAACTCTCCAAGCCCATCCAACAATTCATGAGCATGGCCAGGAATGTACAACATGTAGACCTTACACATACAATAAATTGGTTTCATGTATGTATGTATATATATATGTGTGTGTATGTATGGTATCCCCCCGAGTTATCCACCAGTTTTGGGGCAAATCCTGTCTATTATGCCCATCACCCTCTCCCCCTTACTTTAAGGAATTCAAGAATTCACTGTATGTGTGTATGTGTCTACTCTTGCCATTTTGAGCTTTTCAACCCCTGAAAAGCTCAAAATTGAAAATTTGCAATTTGCGGGGGACACACGGGAAGGGAGGGCTGGGCCCCCTCCGCCCTGCCCCGTGCCCACTGCCCTGCCCTCTCTGCCGCCGCACAGGGCTGCCCTGCGCCCTGCCCTGCCCTGCTCCGCCCTGGCCCCGCTGCATGCCCTGCCCTCCCCTATCGTTTCATATGGTTTTCGCTGTCAGTACAGAACAGACCAGCCCAAACACTCTGAACTCAGCATAGGGGCGTTGAAAAACCCGCGATGGCAAGAAATCCGACCAAACAGTATGGACTTCCTAGCCCTTTTGCCGGATGGATCATGCCTGCGTACTCAACATACCGTAGCTCATGATCATACAACATGCATGTATGCAAAAACTCGTGTGTGCGCAAGAAACGCGCAAGAGTGCGCAAGGGCGAGCGCAAGCAGTATTAAATGGCCACTCATCGGAACAATAATATCGATCAACCCCCATGTTAGGGTACTATAGGAGGTTCTAGAGGGAATCCTACAAGGTATATTCTATATGGCATATGTAAGGAAAAAAGTTATCATATACAGGCGGTCGTCTATAAGGTCTATAAGGTGTTCAACAGGTATTCTCTAATGTATATGTAAATTACATCGGGGGACCAGTTTAAAGTATTCTATAAAGTAATCTAACTAGTACTCCTTCGGTTATTGCACAAGGTATTGTAGAAGGTAATCAAGAGGGTATGTATAAGAGTTTTTTTATAAGGTATTCTGTTCTCTGTCTGTATCCCTACTAAACAAACTTTGATTCGTTCAAGGAGTTCCTAGATCCCAGATGCCGCACCGCGACACGTCAAACGGCCATTGGGTTCAACACTCCTTTCCGCCCCCAAACGGGTGGATAACCCAGGGGGTGTAGCATGTAAATAAATAAAAAAATATATGTATATATATATAGTTGCAAACACGTGAACGAACACAAACGAACACACACACACACACGCACGCACATATACCCACAAAAAACATATGTAAGTGCACAAACATATACACGTAAAATTCACAGATATACGGTGTGCAATACATATATATATAGGATTTCGAAAGTACAAAGTGTATTAAAGTATAGGCTTAAAAGAATCGGCGTACAAGCCCTAAGTGGCAGCAGCACTTGCAGAAATCAGGGTAGAACAGCTTAAGACCCCCGAAGGCCCCTATTGTAAACCCTCGGAATCCCTGGACCGTCATCCCTTGACCCTAAAGCCCAAGCTCTGTCAAAGCTCCAGGAAGATCTCTTCGAAGGGCTTTTTTCCAAAGACTTGGACGACCCGGACGAGGCGAAGTGTAGGCTCTTCATGCAGGGCTCGGAAGTCTCAAACCTTTTTCTGTCATCGTCATAGCACAAGCTGCTCAGAAGATAAGATCTGGTGGTGTGGCACGCTGGCTTGTACTTCTGGGCATTTGAGTCGGAACGAAGGCTCAAGACAGCTTGTGAATTTTCCAAGAGACGGCCTATTTGCACACGCATCGCCGCATGATGTTGGCTTCTCTCGTCGTTGCAATGATCCTCCCCGGCTCGCATGCAGGGCATGGGCT